AGGCTCCGCGGGAGCTGGGCTGCGGAGCGGGGCAGCCGGCGGGGCCGAGGGAAGGGCACGAAGCCGGATCCGAGCAGCCCTGTCCCACGCACGTGCGCGGGCGGGGATTATTTTTTTAACGTTAATTTAAACCCGATATATTTTTGGCGGGTTCCTTTTACAGCAACATCTCGTGTCCACACGAGCCCCCGGCCTGAAGCTGGGGCGATCCAATCTGGCAGCGGATCGCGCCGTTCGTCTTCTCTCCATCAGTGTTTTCCCGCATCTCGGTTTTCTGAGACCTTTTTTTTTTTTTTTTTTTTTTTTTCAATTCCCTTTGGATAAGAAAGACCCGCTGGCAACGGCGCCAGGCAAGTCGGGAATGAAAGAGTTGAGAAAAGGCACCTTTAATGAAAATAGCGTTTATTATACATCAGTTACTAAATGAATAAACTAAATGATCTTTTTCTTTAAATTAATAACTTCCAAAAAACGTTTAATATACAAAACTGTACAGTTATAAAGTTGGCAGAAATAGGCAGGTCCTCAGTGTCGAGATTTTTAGCGCTTACTGAAAAATACTTGAAAAATAGAAAGGGGGGGTGGGGATCTTGCTGCGGGGGAACGCACGGCCGCGTGCTGCGGGGAGCAGATCCGCGCCGCCGCCGCAGGCCTGGGCTCCGACCTGCCCGGGCTCCTGTGTGCGCATCTCCATGCACTGCGGGTGCAGAGATCTCGCTCGCTCTTGCACACACGGACACACGCGCACACAGCCCGGCCGCCCGTGCCCCACGTCTGGGGACATGCATCGCGTTTAAGGAGGGTGTGTGGTTATATATATCTATAGATAGAGATATCTATAAATATCTATATCTATATAGATATCTATATATATTGGTAGATAGATATCTATGTCCATCGATAGATAGATAGATCTCTCTCTATATAGATATCTATATCTATCTATCTCGATCTCTGTATGCTCGTGGACACACACGTCTAGTGCATGTGTGCATGTACACGCACGTACTGCAGCTGTACACACATACATAGCACATGTGTGTGTCCACACGCGTATAAAGCCCACGTCTGTTGAGGGTCGGGGCAGAGGGGAGGGGACAGCACAGCTCTTTCCTATGCCAGGGGAAAAAATGTTACATTGATTTTTTTTATTTTATTCTTTTAGCATTTTATTCTCTTGACTTGTTTTATTATTATTTGTTTTTATTTTTTTAATGTTTTATAAAAGCCTTTCAGCAAATCTAGCATCTCCCTGCGAGGCGGAAATAAGCTCAGCATTCATTCAATGCGGGCATTTCCCCGGAATTCATGTAGACACCTCGGGAGGCCGCTTAGATATTGAAACAAAAGACAGAAACCGATTTCCGAAGCCAAAGCGCAGAATTAGAAAGGTGTTTTACTACAGACCTTCGCAGTCTGGCGCTGATCACAAGCCCCAACACATCTTCGGAAAGAAAAGAAGTGGCAACGCTTGCTTTGGGCTCTGATGCTTAATTTCGGAGCTCTTGTTTTGTTTTGCCCCCCCCTCCCCTCCCCCATGAGCCGGGATCTTAGTTTCATTTTTGTATTTACCTGCTTATTTAGTTATTTTTAAAGCATTTCGATCTGACCGTTTGGCCGTGCTGGGAAATGATTGCAAAGGAGGGAGAGAGCTAGGAAGGAGCCCCAGCGGGCATGCGGCACTCGAGCGTGCGTGAGGATCAAGGGGAGCAGACACCACTTCTTGCCTTTGGGGTGCGGAGGAGGGACCCCTTTCTCCCCTAGCTTGGGATGTGGAGGAAGGGGAGATGCCTAAGGAGAAAGGGACGTGTCTGAACCCTGCCCCCCCCTTAAATAAGAGGGACGTGCTCAATGCATGGAGACGGGAGAAACGTTGGCTGATCGAGTGGGTACGAATAATGTCACAAATATTGTGTACAGTTTGTAGTAAAACACCTCAGACATTTAAAAACGCTATATAAGTCTTTAAAAATGCAAAACTAGTCTATTGTAAAACAGATTCACCTGAAATACAGCTGATATAACCAAGGCGCTGGAAGGTTATTCATAGGCACACATCTGTGTCTCTCTCTCTCTCTCTCTTTCTCTCTCTCTCTCTCTCTCTCTTTTTCTTCCTAGTGGAGACCGAAAACAAACCTTGTTTGATAGTAAACAATACGTAGTGATCAGCGAAAAGGTTTGAGAGAATATATTGCCCAGGCGGAGGAGCGGGAAGCCCCATGCTCTAAGTCTTGGCTGATTTGTTTTATGTTTCCTCTTTTTAAACATAAGTTAACCCCCTCTTAGAAAATCCGCGCTGTTGCCAGTCCTGTCTGAGAGCCGAGCCCTCTAGTCAGAGATCGTGGCAGGATGTGTCTGTTTTCACGTTATGAGAATAAACCTCGTGCTGCTGCTGATCCCCTGGCGGAGTCATTCTTTTCTCTTTTTGTCTTCTGTTACAAAACCAGACACGCACCACTTCTTTCTCTAACTGTAGGCTGTCTGCCAAGGAGGAGATCTCTTGGGCTGCAGGTTTGGGACATTTAAGAAAATGAGTTTCCAGGACCCCTTTGACACTCACCTCTATGGAGGTTCTCTTCTTTCTTTTCCTGCCCTGGGCTGCTATTTTGTCAATACTCGTCGGGCTACCTGTAGATGAGTCTGCCTCTTCTAACCACTTGTTCAGCAGTGGCTTCAGTTTGCACATGTTCTTAAAGCTGAGCTGCAGGGCTTCAAACCTGCAGATTGTAGTCTGGGAGAAAACATTGCCATAGAGAGTCCCCAGTGCTAAGCCAACATCTGCTTGAGTGAAGCCCAACTTGATTCTCCTTTGTTTGAACTGCTTTGCAAACTGTTCCAACTCGTCTGATGTCGGCGTCTCCTCGTCAGAGTGATCCTGACAGTGGTGGGAGCCTATATCCCCGTGCTCGGCGGTGTCCCTCAGCACTGGGTGCAAGCTCTGGGTGGTGGCGGAGGCTGGAGGTGGTGTCAGACCCCCATGGTCCAGCATGCCACTGACTGTGAAGCCAGGCTGGGAGTAGACATTAATAGGCTGTCCGCTGGAGGTTATCGATGAGTTATGAGCTGGACTAGCTCCCCACGCGTTGGGATGATTTGTATGGGGCGAGTGGTGAGAAACGTGAGGCGACCTGTGATGGATGATTGCGCCAAGCTGGAGATCTTCTCTTCCTGGTTTCACGTCCTGCTGGTCTAAAGGGCTCGACGCTAGGGTGGATGACCAGGGGCTCCCATCGCTCAGGCTGGTCACCCAGTGGTGTCCGAGCGGGTGTCCATTGCTGGGAACTCCCTGCAAGTAGTCACTTTGGAGAAGTTTTTGTGGGTTTCTGAAGGGGCTCCCTTGCTGCATGCCCGCGGAGTCTGCATGGACTAAGGAGCTGGAACTGAGAATGCTGTAGGGATTAGAGGCAGCTGTGGCCATGGTTGGTGTAGATCCCCTACTAGTTATAATGTGGCAAAGGGAGCAGCTTCAGCCTTTGACATCTACCAGGCAAGGGAGCCAAATCAGCAACCACTTAGTAATTGGCAGCTCTGTCAGCCAATGGCAGCGGCTCGTCTGTTGGGAAGCTTTTGCTCGCGCCAATGGGGGGAGAGGAGGCAGGTCGCGCTGTCCAAATTAGGTTTGCGAAACCCAAGAGTTAAAGTGAGCCTGAAGCAGGAAGTGAATCAATCTTTAGGCTCCATTGGTTGCTGCTGGCTGACTCTCCACGGTTCATTTGTTTAACTCTTTCTGCGCTGGAGGCCAAGATTTGTTTTTAAGATTTCATTATGAGCAAGGGGTGGCGGGGGGAGGGGGGAAGGAGGATGACAGGGCATGGTTTAAATTTGTAGTGATTAATTCCAGGTACAGCAAAAACCAGAGGTTAAATGCTTGCACCCAAGACTGACAATCTACCCTTAGCACAGTTTATAGGGACTCCCCAATGGTCCAGCCTTGTAAATTCACCATCAAGGTAACTGCGAGACAATACAATATAGATTTACAGCATAAATCCCCACCCCACCCCCAACAAACAAACGAAACACCCAAACGCGTTCCCTCCGACACCACACGCCAGGCACCGTGCGCAATCCTTACAGCTCGGAGACATTTCCTAGGAGCAGAAATTAAAAACCCAAACCAAAAACCAGCAACTCTAAATATACACAGCTTTGTCTGGGATTTTAAAACAGATCAAAGAAAACATTTTTTTTTCCCACTGGGCAGATTGAAATTGAAATGTATGATTTGTTAGCTAACAGTTAAATTCTCCCGATTGAAATACAAATATTTCAGACTCTTGGTATTGTTCTGCAACAACCCTAAATTTTCCCTCCCCGACCTTCTGTTCCGTTGGACTCCTTGCTTTTTTCTGCCTGCTAAATGTCATTTCCTATCAGCAGGTCCACAACTTCTGAGCCCCAGAGCCTGAGCACATCTTCCGCAAGACCCCAAAATGTGCCCAAAATGTAGCTCCTCTTTCTAATTTAATTTACTCCACGAAGGCACGTTTTGCTCATTTGAAAAATAAAATAGGTGCTTTCAGATATCTAGGTAGAAAAATTAAAATGTTTTTTTTTCTTTTACATCCAAGTTCGAAATATAAAAGAAATGAACGAGGTGTATGTTCACTAAGCGCTATGTTAGGTGTGTGGATTGTATGTGCTTTGTGCAAGAATGAAAAGGCGAATTATATTTTGACGACCAGAGCAAACAATGAGAGAGTGTGTGTGGGGGAAATGCTGATTTTTTTTCTCTTAAATTCAGTTTCAAACCGTTCGGAAATGAGGGGGGAAATAAACATTGCGTTTTACTCTTCCTCTTTCAAATGTTCTGCTAAGGAGCAGAGTCAGATAAAGCTGATTGTTTCAGAGTTGTTGTAGTGCTCAAGCTGAGAAAATTAAACACCTAATACCTTAGAAAATCTCTGAAGTTAAAAAATGACCTTTCCTTGCATAATTTTGGAGGTAACCTAGCTGCGTAATTATATTTGCACTTACAGAAGACTGCATCAGAGTTCCCTTATTGGTTTGAAATTCCATTAAATATATTGCAAGAGCTCCTAGGTTAAGCTTGATTTAAATTTGCATACATTTTCATATATTTAGCAGAAATAAAAGAAGGCTTGCAGCTACCAGAAAGTCATTAAGGCATTAGTTTCTCTGAGAAGACAGATCTGGAGAAAATTCAAGAAAATGAAAAAAAATTATATATAAACAAGGTGAGCTTTCCTCTGATTCCTTTCTAGCTATGCAGCATCACTTTTCCTCGTTGTAATAATAACCATAATTTCTCATCAAAGCCTCAGCATAGCACAGCTGACAAGCATTTGTAAATGTTGGATGTAATTATTAAATGGCAGAGCGGGGTATTCTGTTTGAAATAGGTTTTGATATTTTTTAAAAAGCCAAATACTGGGGGGAGATGCTCCTTTCCTCTTTGTTTTCTGCTAGATTAGAAGCGTGCTTGGCACGGAGGGGAATGTCAGTCTGGTATTGATGATGTTCCATTTTCAGGGTTTACCCGCTTTTAACCCAGACATCGATTGGCTTTTTGGAGGGGCACTTTTGCAGGAAGGTGGGTGCCTGCCTCTCTCGCAGCTGCAGTCGGGCTCCGGGCTGCCGAGCAAAAAAAGAACTTCGGAAAAGTTTTCAGGTGCGAGGAAGGCAGCTCCCTTGAAAACGTCGCTGGAAAGCGTGTCGCGAAGGGTCAGTTTAGAGGTCAGAAGATGAAAAATGTCTCTGCAAAAGAGAATCATAACCCTTTTGTCCCTCTAAAAGCTGCATTTCTGACGGCAAGGTTTCGAGCTCTAGGCATTGAAGCTGCAGTTGATTTGCTACGCGTGGAGAGAGATGAAGATAGATAGATAGATAGATAGATACACACACACACTCCTTCTTTCTCTACCTTTACAAGGTTCTTAAAATAAATATTAGCGACGCCTGGGAAGAAGAAAAAAAAGCTAACACTATTTTTTCAAGGCAACTAAATTATTTAAAATTAATTTGCACTCCGACTTCTAAAACAATTTTTCAGATCCCTTTGCCCGTGAAAATAAATCAGCCGCTGCATGAAGGAAGAGTCTTTAGGAGGGAACTAAAAACCCTGAACAGCAGGTTTTAGTATTTTTCGAAATGTGGCTGCAGCAGACCCCAACGCCATAACGCCCTGCTCCTGGGAGGAGAGCCGGAGCTCGCTATATGCTTTATTTTAAAGTGTTTTTATCTGCATATAGTTAAATCTTCTTGCTGTTCTAACTAATCTGCTGGAGAGGGTTTCTTTAGCTCTTTCCTGTCAGTCTAACTTCCCAAGTGTAACAGATGCCGCTCTCAAGCGGTCCTTTCTGCTGCTTTTCTTTATTCAGCCTCGCATATTTCTCCCCATGATCTGGGTTTCCATAGAGAGAGGAATAAAAGGGGGACCATGGTCACAAATCCCCTGCCCCATGCAGAATAAAAGAGCCTTATTCAATAGACGACCCCGTCTGGACATGGGAGAAAAATAAGTACATGCAAAGCTACTGTTGCAAGAATTTGTAACTTATTTTTCATAGACTGGAACCCATTAAAGTAAGAAAAGTTTCTGGGTTTGGACTCTGCTCTTCAGCTCTTCGGCCTTCTGTGCCTTTGCACTCGAAAGATGCCTCTTTCCCCGACCGACCAACCAACCATTCCATCTCATATTATGTGTACGGATAGATATATTTTCTACTAAATCTCTGGCATGAAAAAAAATCACAATAGCCCCGGAGCCTGGCGTCTCGGGGCAGCTAGAAGTCACTCCTCAGAGCCCCCGGCTTTGAAGCGGAGGAGCTGTCGTTGCGTGGAACCCCCGCACCCTGCGACCACAAGGCAGGGTCGGGGGGGGGTGCGGGGGTCACCCTACAACAGGGCTCTAACTTGCTGTCTACTGGGTGCTCCTGGGTGCCGGGGCACGGTCTGATGTGGGCGCAGGGGGCAGCCCAGTGGCTCGGGAAGTCAGGAGCTTGTGCGCAGAGGTGCGGCTGGGGCTGTATGGAGATAGATAGATAGATAGATAGATAGATTTCCAGGAGATGTTTCTCATGAGTCATCCGCGGGAGGAAAACAAAACAGGGGCTGAGAGGGGCTCGTTTTGACTGTGTTTAATACAGCATGAAGCTCCAGGCGTGAGCTGCGGCTCAGTATCACGACCTCTATAGGGAACACTTCACCTTCACCACGAGTGCCCCGGAGAGACTGGGCGAGCTAGACAGGGCTCGGTGGGAACAAGTGCAAATTTCAGCCCGGCTGCGATCAGGCCGGCCCGGGGGGAGGGGGGCAGGGACCGCGTCAAGTTGGCCGAGGTGTGAGCGGAGCTGGGCTCTCCGGGCTGCCCCGGCTGAGCGCGGCCTCCCCGGCTCGCCCGCTCCCTTCCCCCGTGCAGGTGGGGTTTGGGGAGGGGGGGGAGAGGCAGAATTTAGAGTATTAGCAGAAATTAGCCAATGCAGACACCAGCTCAATGCCTTCCTTGTTCCCCTCCCGGGCTCCGCCCCCTGCTGCTGGGC